GTAGATTGATACCAAAGCCAGAATACATACATACATACATATATATATAGACAACCATATAGGACACAAGAGATATGTAGTAGGCCATGAAAATCCCGAGATGATAAGAAAGTACATTATTCAAGAATCAATTAAAAAAAAATACTTTTTATTATTTATTTTTTAATTCATAAAATATGCTAGAAATTTATTTTATTACTTACCATTAATAAATTAAATAAAATAAAAACAAGAACCAGAAAATCAGTATAAATAATGAGAGAATCAGCAAATATTAATAATTTCTGTACAAAAATCTTCATCGGTTTAAAATATCTACACACTACTCATAAATGCTAACTACATTAATTAAATTCCTAATTAAATATATATTTATGTATTCTCTCTCTAAAAACTAAAAAGCCAACATTCTCAATTAAACAAAAATAAATAAAATAAAAATAAATAATAAATAAATAAAAACCTAGTTGAATTTATTTAATTATGACCACCTTGAAATATTCCATTTTGGATTAATATATATAAAAATTGATTCAAAGTAATTATTATTATTAAAATAATATTCATGGAATATTATTATTATTACTAAGGGTTGAAAAGATGGCCGTCGCATCTGCATTTCCATCCGAGCGGCTTGTAATTCGAGTACCTGTTGCCGCCGCCCGACGCCGCCGGCGACGAGTCGAAGTACTCCAGCTTCGCCGCCGTCGTCGTCACTACTTCTTCCTCCGGCCCAACTCGGTTGTGACTCGGCAGCGTGGGCACTTGCACCGCCATGCATGGGTGGCACTGGTTGCATTTGTTGTGGCAGCTCGGCGGCCTCGACCCCAATCTCGTTTTCTCCGCCACCACCAAACCCTACACCAACAAAACTAAATTACAATAATGCCACCCACACACACACACAAACATGCAGGAGAGGAAATTACGATCTTACCCTCAGAGAGTGAGAAGGCTGATTATGGATCAAGCAATAAGAAGTAGAGAGAAGAAAGAAGAGAGCTATTGAAATAAAATATGAAATTAATGAGATAAAAGAATTCATAGCCATGGTTGCATTTTTTCTCTTTTTTTTTTTTTTTAAATAAATAATATATATTATCTGGACATTTTTCAGAGCGACAACAACAGAAGCAGAAAACAAAAAACACTACATTAAATAATGCTTCAATGCAAGAAGAGAAGCAATATTCAAAAATAAAAATTATTAAAAAAAAAGATTAGTTTTTTATGAGGGTAATTGAAAAAGAATGAGTTGAAAAATATAGCTGAGAAGATTTTAGAAGAATGTAGTTTATGGGGTGGGAGGATTGAGACCTGTATGTATGTATGTATGTATCTCTGTAAATTTGTGGGGGGTGGGGGTGGGGGGGTGAAAATAACAAGACAGAAAAAAGAAAAGAAAAGAATGGGGGAAATGGTAGCAGAATGTAAAGTGGGGGGCCTCTGAGCAAAGTTATATATTTTTCTTTACGCTATTGAGGGTTTGGCCATTACTAGCTGTATAGAAAGTGAAAGGTCCTTTCTACTAGAGAAAGTGATGGTTTTACTGTTGGGGGTGGGGGTGGGGGTGG